AGTTCTAGAGATTGTCTCCAAATCCGTAGCAGAGGCTTCTCCTCTAATTGTGGGAGTCTCGGGTCAGGGTATGTTTGCTGATCCTGTTCAGGTTATATTTTGGATTGATGTCCGATTTGCGCGGAATGCTGCGGAAATGTGGGGTATAATATGGTAGGGTCGCTTGTTTTTTTGCGCGCACGCAGGATCTCGAAAGGCATGCACTTTACGTCGCTGTGTCATTGGCATTTGCTGAAGGTTTGCTTGGCAGGTCTGTAGTCTTGACAACTCTCAGGCAAAGCTGCCATTTTGAATGGTGTGATGCTGCAAAGTGTCAAAGCCATTCCAAACATGCAGCTTAGTGCAACTTGCGCCTGTTGGAGGCTGAACGGAAAAGGGATGGCAACGTCTTCTGCTCATCCTTCTCCTTCTTCCCACATCTCTTGAGGAGTGTCTGAGCTCCTCTCTATGGTTTTTGCACTCAGTGCAAAACATCTTCACACCTTTCTTCCAGAAGCGCTGACTTGGATGTCCCTGCCAAGAAGGTGGAGGGACCCAGTCTTCGTTACAGCATTTGCTGGCTGAGGGCAATGTTTGAGTGCCATTTTGCCACACCTGGTGCAAGTGTTGTGGTTCTGTTGGTTTGGCCAGGACCTGGCTGCCTCCTTTGAAGATAGTTAGCACACTCCTTTGATCGACACCCATCTCCTCAAGGTGCAAGGGGGAGGTTTGAACCTTCTAGATTTCCCTCCATTGTTGAAGCCTCAGTGCCATTCGGTCTTCTCTGGGTCTGTCTTGAAAGGGTCTCTGTTATGGCATTTCATCCTTTTCGAGCGTCCAGAAAAATCATTTGCATCCTTTCTGAGCAGCTTGCAGAATCCCAGCCCTATACTCCTCCTTCTCCACTGCAAAGCTCGTCTCTTTGTGCAAGTCAAGCTGCTTTTTGGTACTATAGTAGAGCACCAGTTCCACATGATCCTGAGAGGCATAATTGAGCACCATGTCATAGATGAGTTTGAATCCTTTAAAGGTGACACGCATTTCATCTACCCCGTGATCAGAAAGATGCCAACCCAGCTTGAGGAAATTGGCAATCCTGTCATTGGAGATGTTGGGGTGTTTGAAAGGCTGCTCCAAACGTACTTCGATCCGTCCTCAAAAGTAAAGTCCTGGACAAAGTGAAGGTTTGTGCCGCGTCCAAGTTGTCTCCAAGTGCTGAAGGACGTACCGTTCAATTTTGCGGTGCAGCTGGCCAAAGATGCCAGTGCCTTCCATCCCTAGCCACTGGACCTGAACTTCATGAAGAGGAAGTTGTCTCCGTTCTTGCTCCGGCTGCTGCAACCTTGGAGCTGGGGCATACTTGTGGATCTGCCTCACTGTGATCTACTCATGTACTCCACATCCTGGTCCAGCCGGAAAAGCAGCTGCTCATGTGGTTTGAAAGGGACCTCCCAATTGACCTGCACCGAAAAGTCTGCCACCATATTAGAGACAAGTGCACAGTCCAGCTCATTTCCCGTGTTGCATGTTTCCTCTCCCGTGGCAAGTATCGTCATCTGCGTGACGGAACCCATCATAGTCGTCATGAGCTCCTCCCAGGTCACATTGAAATCTCCCATGATGGTGGTAGGCTGTTGAATGAGCCCTGATGCGAATGGGTTGCTCCCTGTAGTGCTTCCCCACACTTCATGTAGACAGAAATCATGATTAATTAGTTGAAATTCCTGGAATGACCACTGCACTGCCATCCATCCACATACATCAATGATTTGTTTGTGCAGAACATAAACATGCTGGTTTGCCGAAAACACAATCATAAAGCCCTGATTGGTGCCCTGTTTCGGGCTAATTGCAGCTTCAGCACCCAGCACTTGCAGTCCTCTAGTGCTGAACGATTGAACTACCTTCTGGTAGTCCTCCCCCGCAAGATGAGTCTCAACCATGCTAAGACGCTAAGAGGGCTCTGTGGCCTCGTCAGAACCCAATTTCGGAAGCCTGGCCAAGTTGATCACATTTGCGAAAGCAAAGATAATGCCATTGGTCTTTTGCCTCTTGTTGGAGTCCTCTGCTCCTCGTGGTGGAGCCTGTTCCTTGACAATGGTACCTTCTCGGGCAAGAACCGGGAAGAAGGAACCGCCCGAAAGGTGCCTTCATCCGCAACCCAGTAAAGTCCTCTGTACAAGTACACTGTCAAAGTGCCCACTGTTGTGTTCTCAACCACTATGGCAAAGCATCCCAATCAAGGTATTGGACCGTTGTAATGTTTTTCCCCCAAACAGGCCTTTTAAAGGGGTGCATGCTCGGGCCGGATGATTTTGAGTTTGTCTCCGGACTTGTGTTCCTGGCCGCATGATTTCACCCTTGTCTCCCACTTGTCTCCCACTTGTCTCCCACTTGTCTCCCAGTAAGCTCTGGATGCTCTCAGTGCTCTGGCCGCATGATTTTATATTTGTCTTTCATTTGTCTCCCACTTGTCTCCCAGTAAGCTCTCGATGCTCTCAGTGCTCTGGCCGCATGATTTCAGGCTTGTCTCCCACTTGTCTCCCACTTGTCTCCCAGTAAGCTCTGGATGC